TATTTATCATGAGTTAGGGAGCTGTAATTCAGCTATCTCCAGAAAGCACTGTGGACTCAAACAATGATAAGATCTGGACTAAACTTGGCATGAATACTCAATATGCCCAAATGTGAACACTGTTGGAGTTTGGGGAAAATAAACCTTGACATTTGGGAGTTGTAGTTGCTGGTATTTATAGTTCACCTACAATCAGAGAGCATTCTCAACCCCACCAATGATAGAATTGGGCCAGACTTCCTACACAGAACTTCCATGCCAGTAGAAAATACTGTGTATCCTGATCGTCTTTGGAGACCCCGACACCACATCACGACCCCCCCAGGGGTCCCAACCCCCAGGTTGAGAAACACTGTTCTAGATCTTTGCCCTTCCTGGCTGATCAAATGGGCCAGAGGGGGGCTGGCAGAGTGGGTAGAAGATGGTGGTCAATGCCTCCTTGGAACAAAGCAAAGTTCCAACTTGCCTAAAGGAGGCAGTTGTGAGACTTATATTAAAAAGCCATCCCTGAACCCCTCTATACTGGACAACTATTGTCCTGTGTCCAACCTCCCCTTTCTAAGCAAGGTCTTGGAGCATGTGGTGGCCTTCCAACTGCAGGGATTTCTGAATGAAACAGATTATCTAGATCCATTTCAGTTTGGTTTCAGGCCTGGCTATGGAACAGACAACTTTGATTACCTTGGTGGATGACCTATGCAGAGAGCTAGACAGGGGAAGTGTATCTCTATTGGTTCTCCTGGATTTCTCAGCTGCTTTTGATACCATTGACCATGGTACCCTTCTGGGTTGTCTCACCGGGACAGGACTTGTCTTACAGTGGCTCTGATCCTTTCTGGAGGGCTATGCCCAGAAAGTGGTGCTGGGTGACTCCTGTTCGAACCCCTGGTTGTTGACCTGTGGGGTTGCTCAGGGTTCCATTTTGTCCCCCATGCTGTTTAACATATACATGAAACCACTGGGAGTGGTCATCCGGAGTTTTGGAGTAAGGTGCCACCTAAATGCGGATGACACTCAATTCTACTACTCCTTTCCACCTAATGCCAAGGAAGCTGTCCTGACTCTAAACCAATGCCTGCCATCAGTAATGGACTGGATGAGGGCAAACAAATTGAAACTTAGACAAGACAGAAGTACTCCCAGTCAGTCAGAAGGCAGACCAGGGAATAGGGATCCAGCCTGTGCTGGATGGGGTTACATTCCCCCTGAAGACCCAGGTACGTAGTTTGGGGGGGGGGGGTCCTCCTGGACTCAGTGCTGAACCTGGAGTATCCCAGGTATCTGTGGTGGCCAAGGGGGCCTTGGCAGAATTAAAATTTGTGCGTCAACTGTGCCCGTTCCTTGAGAAGCCAGATCTGGTCATGGTAGTCCATGCCTTACATACAGGGTGAGGCAGCATAACTTACTTTTTTAAAATGCGCGCCATTCAGTCGGTTGAAGACGTAGTAGAGCGCTAGTGGTCTCGTTCGAGAGGCGGGAGTATAATGTTTTGTCCTGACACAGTTCAGTCGCCATCATGTGTTGGAACAGTGAGGAGCGGGCTTTTGCCATTGAGGCCTACTTTTCGAGCAGAGTGGCCGGCCCGCTTTCCAGATTTGGCCCCTTGTGATTTTTTTCTATGGGTTTTTTGGAAATCCCGTGTTTATGTGAACCGTCCAAGGACCCTACAAGATTTGAAGACCAACATCCAGGAAGAAATTGCCAACATAACGCCTGCTATGCTGGCAAGAGTCATGACAAACGCCAGAAATCGTTTACTCAGTGTATGGAGAATGGGGGACGTCACCTACCTAATTTGATCTTCAAAACTACGTAAAACAAAACTTTAGGTATGCGCCTACATTATAAAAAAATTCTGATTCATACAATGGGTTTTATTAAGTTTTGAAAAAGGAAGTTATGCTGCCTCACCCTGTACCATCCCATCTGGATTACTGTAATGCGCTCTATGTGGAGCTGCCTTCGAAGAGTGCGCAGAATCTTCAGCTGGTCCAAAGAGCTACAGCCAGGTTGCTAACTTGGGCTAGCTGCAGGGTGTGAACCATCCAAGGACCCTACAAGATTTGAAGACCAACATCCAGGAAGAAATTGCCAACATAACGCCTGCTATGCTGGCAAGAGTCATGACAAACGCCAGAAATCGGTTTACTCAGTGTATGGAGAATGGGGGATGTCACCTACCTAATTTGATCTTCAAAACTACATAAAACAAAATTTTAGGTATGCGCCTACATTATAAAAAAATATTTCTGGTGTGCTGTGGTTTTTAACTTTGAATATGTTTTGATGGATTTAACTGATATATTTTTTACTGCTGTTTGTGTTTTAAATTCTGTGCTAACACTTTTATATCAAACTGCTGTGAGTCCCCTTTGGGAACATAAAGCAGATATAAATATAACAATAATAATAATTCAGGACCTGGCCAAGCCTCCAACTTTCATGGATGATAGGGTGCTAATCCTCCAGTATGACCGCCCAATGTTCAGATCTATAGGATTCTTGGCATCTTGCTTAATGCTCACAGAGGACCAACTTTCTGACCCAGCAAAAAGGGACTTCCCATACAATATGGGAATATCCAGTCCGCTGTCACAGACTGGATGAGGGACAACAGATTGAAACTAAATCCAGACAAGACAGAGGTACTCCTGGTCAGTCGTAAGACCGAACAGGGTACGGGGTTACAGCCTGTGCTGGACGGGGTCACACTCCCCCTAAAAGCACAGGTACGCAGTCTGGGAGTTCTCCTGGATTCATCGCTGAGCCTGGAACCCCAGGTTTCAGCGGTGGTCAGGGGAGCATTCGCACAATTAAAACTTGTGCGCCAGCTGCGTCCGTACCTTGGGAAGGCTGACTTGGCCACGGTAGTACACGCTTTGGTTACATCCCGCTTAGATTACTGCAACGCTCTCTACGTGGGGTTGCCTCTGAAGACTGCCCGGAAGCTGCAGCAAGTACAACGCGCGGCAGCCAGATTACTAACGGGTGCTGGGTACAGGGAGCACACCACTCCACTGTTACTCGAACTCCACTGGCTGCCGATTAGCTTCCGAGCACAATTCAAAGTGCTGGTGTTAACCTATAAAGCCCTAAACAACTCCGGCCCTGTTTACCTCTCCGAACGTATTCTCCCCTACGAACCATCAAGACCACTAAGATCGTCTGGAGGGGCCCTGCTCTCGGTCCCACCGCCTGCACAAGCACGGCTGGTGGGGACGAGGGACAGGGCCTTCTCGATGGTGGCCCCTCGACTTTGGAACTCCCTGCCATTAGAGATCAGAACTGCCCCCTCCCTCATGACGTTCAGGAAACTAACAAAGACCTGGTTGTGGAACGCGGCATTTGACAACTGATTTAATTCTTTGCCCACATGAAAGGAGGATGATGAATGGGATTGTGATGGTGTTGGACGATTTGGCTCTTTTAACTGGGATGATAATGTTTTAATGTGTATGGTGCTGATATTTTAATCGTGTAATGAAGTGGCATTGTGTTGTTATTGTATATTCTTTGTATGTTAACACATGTTGTGAACCGGTCCGAATCCCTCTTTGAAGGTGAGAGGGTCGGTATATAAAACCTCGAAATAAATAAATAAATAAATATACAAGTGAACTATAACACCCATATCCCCCCCCCCCCCCCGAGTCTGGCCTAGTATCAATCCCAAACATTCATCACGTTGAGTCACTCCCAGTCACCCATGGCCTCTGCCATTGGCTGTCCTTTAGGGCCACATGCCACTTTGGAGGCAGGCTTACGATGCCTGCAATTAGCAACCTCTCTGAATCACGACAAGGAAAGATGGGTCAGGAGGTGAGGCCATTTTGTTCCTGTCTAGCTGGAATTATTAATAGCTGAGCTTCAGGGCCTCACTGTTCTCCGCCGCCCACAGCCAGCTGGCAAAGCAGTTGCCTTGTTTTCCTTCCGTCAAAGACTTGCTGACGTTCCTTTCTTTTTGCATTACACATCTAGGCTGCATCTGCACTGCAGAATTAATGCTGCTTGATACCACTTAAACTGCCATGGCTCAGTGCTATGGAATCCTAGGAGTTGTAGTTTGGCAAGGCACCAGCACTCTTTGGCAGAGAAGGCTAAAGACCTTTTAAAACTATAACCCCCAAAATCCCCTAACCTTGAGCCATGGCAGTGAAAGTGGTGTCAAACTGAATTAATTTGACAGTGTAGATCCATTCCTAGACAGATCCTTCCAGCAAAGAAGTCTCTCCTCCTGTTTCTTTCTCATTTTTCCATGAACACACAGATGGTGAAATTTTAATTCTATCCACATTGGCCTGAATACAGATAATGCAGGTAGAATTAAGTTGCTGTTGTGAATGTTTTTGTTGGCCCAAATACAGGTTGAGTTTCCCTTATCCAAAATGTTTCAGCCCAGAAGTGTTTTGGATTTCGCACTACCTGTATGTGCATAGTCATATATGATATCTTGGGAGAAAGGGCCCGTGTCTAAACACAAAATTCATGTATATTTTATATACATCTTACAGAAGGAACCTGAAAGTAATTTTACACACACTGCCTATAACAAAGTTTGTTAAGCAATGGGTATATTTTTAATCATTTTCTTTATACTAAAGTGCTTTTATTATAGATTGAATATAGCCATCAGCAAAACTGTATTTTTTAATAAAAGCATTTTTATTGTTGTTAGCATAGATGTCTGGGAGCAGAATAAACCTTTTTGGAAATGTACTATTGTTTCTCAGATCAGGTAATTATTTGCGCTGTTGACTAAATATAGCTTTGCTGATTCATCTTGTCAGACTACTGTACCTTTTTTGCCTTTTTCGTACGCAAAGCTGGCAGGAAGAGTATTCAATTAGAATAAAGCATTGGAAGAAACCTCAAGGGACCATGTAGTCCAACCCCCTGCCAAGGAAAACCTGTATCTTAATCATTGCTGAGAAGCCATAATGCTCTCTGGCTATGACTCAAACCAGGGTGATTGAGAAATAAAAGACAAGCAGGCCAAGAACTTGGGTGTTCTCCACAGGACATTTATTTATTGTATTTTTTGTCTTCCAAATTTCAATATATATGTATTTATTTTTCACAGCGTAGTCGCTCCCAATTCTGTTTTTACGGGGTCCCCACCCCTTCCAGCATAACCCAGGCCTGCTGAGGAAGAGAGTAGGAGGAGGAACGGGCAGCATACTGTATGCCCCAATCGATCATATCTGCTTTCAGAGATTGGGTACGAAGGCCCACCTTTTGGGGCCAAACTCTCCCCTTTCAAATTCCTTACTCTTTCAGTGAATTGGGGAAAGGCTGGATCCCAAAGAGCTGGACAGCAGCAGTGACACCTGCTGCTCAGCTAGAGAATTGCAGTCCCTTCCCCTTTCCCACAAACATACACCTTTCTTCACCTTATATACAGAAGAGGATGTATCAGGGACCCCCACTATCACTATAACCCCCTGGAAAGGAGTTAACTCAAGCTTCATATCCCACCTCGAGCCTCTTCCCCAGCAGGTCACACTTCAGGCCCCCCATTTTGAATGCCGCCGCCACCATTAACAATCCTTGGCAAATGGGGTGGAATAGGGAAGGACATCAGCCTCCAAACCGCCAGGCTCCCTTGTCCCTCCTTGTCGGGAGCAAGGACAGCTTCAGACCTCTGTCTCCATCCCTATTCCAACCCCACAAAAATGCATAACTAATCTCCCGCGCCATGTTTGTAACTGTTGCCAGCGAGAGACACCCAGTGCCGTTTTCCCTCCAAACTTGCATGGGTGTCTCCCCAATCTTCTTTTTGTCACGATGCCACATTACGCCTGCCGGGGTTCTTCTTGGAATTCCTTGGCCTCAAGAGAGCAATCGGTACAGAGAGAGAGCTGACAAGGGAGAACCGTTTCCCTCCCTCCTTGGGAGAGAAAGGGGAAAGACTGGGAAAGGAAGGGAAGAAGGGTTCGAGGCAGGGGAAGAGATGTACCAAAAATAATGTTAAAAGTCACAAGTCGCTGACATTATAAACAGGCCACGAAAGATGGCAGTTTGTGCTAGACAAGGGAGTCGGAAGGTCTCACTCGGCACGATATCACAAATACTACGTTTGCAAAGTTGAACCGGCTGGTTTGGGGCAAGGATAGAAAAGTAAGAGTACAGAAGAAGGGGTCTGCTCCCCCAAACAAATGTACACCAGACTCAAATCTTCCCATCCACGCAGATAAACATCTTCTACCCCCACCCCTTCCTTGCCTGCAGTTCGATTCAGAAGTTAAGAGAGCAGACACGACAATCATTATTTTACTACAGGGTACAGAAAGAGAGACAAGGATACAATGCACTCATCTAAATGTAGCCCCCAGGGCCAGGGGAGAAATAAAGTTTTGTTTAGCCCTGTAGATTTAAGAATAAGGCTCCCCCCCACCCCAAGGTAACCCCTCCTCGTCCAATTCCTGTATTATATGACGTCCCATCTGGAGAAGTCAATACTCTGATTTCTCCCATCACTTCTGAAAGAAACCAAAGACTTCATTCCCCTCTTTCTTGCCCCCTTGACATGCATTCGTGCACACACATCCACACTCCAATTCCCTACACATAGGCAGTGATCGCAAGAAGTTAATCAGGAAGTTATTCTGGGAAGAGGAAACAACTGTCCCTTTTCCCATTCTAGAAAGAACGTTGTCGCCTCCTTTACAGAAGAGGTGTGGAATGTAACATATATTGTTTATTACCTTGTTGCGCGTTTGGTTTAAATAAAAAAGAGGCAGTTTCTCTATAGGACTATACTAATGGCAAGAAAATCAGCTGTCACCACCTTGTTCAGAGGAAGGCAAGGAGAGGAATTCCTGTTGCAGGAATTTCATACAACGTCACCATATCTGAAGGGGTTTTAGAAGGTGTTCGGTGGGTGACTTTTAAGAAGACACAGCACACGGAACAACTCCAGGAATGTTGCAGAAGATTAGAAAGGTTTTCGACTTCGCTTCCTTCCCTGCACCGAAGGAGGAAGGGGTTGAGATCAAGGAAGAGTGGGCAAAGAAACTCAGGACACTGAAGCCTACAGTCAAAAGTCACAGGCAGCAAAGATCAGGTGCTTCCAAAAAGGTGTCTTAACATTTCTGGAAGAGTAGGGGATGGGCAGATGGGTCTACAATTCAAGAGAGAGCACTGTTCACCATCAGTATTCAGGTGATAATTTTGGGGAAAGAAGTGAGCTACAGTTTTATTATGCTCTAAAGCAGATGAAAAGCCTTCCCTCCATCCCAACTGCCATTGCTTTGGCTGCAGAGGGAGAGAAGAGCTGGCAATATCTGCAGGATTTATTGCCTTCACCCATCACTGTGTCCTGACTTATTTAGATTTTAAGCCTGAGGGCAGGGAACTGTCAGAGTAACAATTTGCAAACTGTTCTGAGATCCCTTGTGGCTGAAGAGCAGGGTATAAATGCTCTAAATGAATAAAATAAAAAAGGGGCGGGGGAGTGTTTAAGAGCCCATTTAACAGGGAGAGGAATTTAGGGTCACAGGGAATTATTGGTCCTTGAAGATTTGAGTTAGAAGTCAAGACAATGAAAAAAAAACCACTGTCAGAGAAAGAGAGACGTTAGGGGTTGGCAGAAGAGGGGACGGGGATTCCATGACACATGGAAAGTCTAGTAATAAATCTACAAACAGACAAAATATATTATATTATATATTATATATATATGTATAAATAACAAATCAGGCTATTTACAGGACACCCACACGCAATGCACACGCACGCACACACACAAGGGAGGGGGGAACTGGGCAGGAATGGTAAAGGGGGGGTGAGGAGGGGCTGGAAGATATGGCTGAGATCTAGAGGAGGGGGGGGGAATGCTTCGCCCCTCTTGCCTCTCCCGGCCGCTGCTCTTGGATGGGAAATGGCTCCAGGTATCCGACTAGGTGCTGAAGTAAACTGCAAAGAGCAGGGAAAGAGAAAAGGAGAAAAGGAYAGTCAGCAACTTCAGGAAGGCCCAGTGATCTTTGGAGAATGTCACTTGGAAGCAATGGCAAGGGATTGACAGCAGCCCTGCCCTAGTTTTATTGTGTTGTGGCGTATTGTTTTTATTGTTTACTGTTATTGCTTAACGTTTTGATTTGCTTTATAATGTTATGTGTATTGTTATGCTGTTGTTTTATCGAGGCCTTGGCCTTTGTAAGCCGCATCGAGTCCTTCGGGAAATGTTAGCGGGGTACAAATAAAGATGATAATAATAATAATAATAATAATAATAATAATAATAATAATAGGAGGGAGTTCAATGGAAACAAGTCCTTTCGTCTGTAGAAAAAGCCTCCCACTGCATTTGCTGCTTTGAGTGTTTCTGAAACAGCATAGCAGGGTATTAACTGCTTTAAAAGGGAGAGAAATAAAATGGGAGTTTTCAGCCCCCCCCCCCCCCCCGAATCTCATTGCAGCCTGTGTCACTCACCAATGATAACGATCAAGACAATGGCGCATATCACTCCAAGAATTATCATCATCTGAAATTGAAGGGAAGAAAATATGAAAGCCTTGAGAGCAGGAACTGGTACCAACAGTAATATAATTTAATTAATCAATGGGATCAACCATACAAAGGATAGAATCTATACTCAATAAAACTTATTTTAAGAGACAAACTGGGGCTTAACTTTGCTTTGAAGGAATGATCTCAGCGACGGAAACCTCTAACATTTTTGAACTTCATATTATTTAGCCAGCAATTGAGAATCTGCACTTTGATTATGTTTTAGAGCAGTGGTTCTCAACCTGGGGTCCCCAGATGTTTTTGGCCTTCAACTCCCAGAAATCCTAACAGCTGGTAAAGTGGCTGGGATTTCTGGGAGTTGTAGGCCAAAAACATCTGGGGACCCCAGGTTGAGAACCACTGTTTTAGAGGTTGTCTCTTTGTCGTTCTTTTACATCAGGGATCCTCAAACTTTTCAAACAGAGGGCCAGGTCACAGACCCTCAAACTTTTGGAGGGCCGGATTATAATTTGAAAAAAAAAATGAATGAATTTCTTATGCACACTGCACATATCATATTTGTAGTGCCCAAAACACTTAAAAACAATACAATAATTAAAATGAAGAACAATTTCAAGGAATATAAAATTATTAGCATTTCAATGGGAAGTGTGGGCCTACTTTTGGCTGATGAGATAGGATTGTTGTTGTTGTGTGCTTTCAAGTCATTTCAGACTTAGTTTGACCCTGAGCGAGGGCCGGGTAAATGACCTTGGAGAGCAGCATTCGGCCCCCGGGCCTTAGTTTGAGGACCCGTGTTTTACATTTTTCCAAGGATGAACTTGAAATTAAATCTAGACTCCAGTGCTGAGCATTCTCCAATCATTTGGGCACAACAAGGAAGTAATGGGGGGCAAGGACTTCTGACAGCGAACTATATTAAGCAGGTTTGTGTGAATACTGTTGAATTCCACATTACCTTTAGGTTCTTCCACCAGTATTTGCGTTTGAGCTTGGCTGCACTCGTTTCAAACTGGGATGCTCCAGCCTGCAGGGCGTCAGCACGATCATCCAGTTCAGAGAGTTTCTGATCCCTTTCCAGCACCTTGTCCACATTGACTCGCATAATATCCACTACCTGGAGAGGGAAAGCTCAGGTGAAGAACATGCAACATGCCCAGTGCCACCCAGTGTGTTTCCATGGGTGAGTGGGGTTTCAAATCCAACACTTAAACTGCTATGTTGCATTCCCATATGTAGAAAGCTTCCCTTGTTTCTCATCACAACACAAAGCTCTCTCCTCGTACATTCTGACATATCCCAAGGTCTTCACTCTTGCAGCACAGCCATTTGTCTGCACTATTCCTCTTTCAAAAGCAAAACTTGACAATTTTCCTCTCCTGTCTGTCTGGAACTGACTATTTCCTTAGGGCCACAGTCATGCCTTTCTGCTTTCCTTTAGTCAAAGTTTTCCTCAAAACCTATTTTGTTAGCTCTTTGGCACCAACTGCTAAATGTCAAACAAAAGGTGGAGCAGAATGGCTCCCTGTAATCCAAGAAAGCAAGACTGACTATAGAGATACACATTGCAAGGAATGGATTTGGGTGGCATTTCCTAACAAGCAAGAGCTGTATAGTTGTAGATGATGGTGTGCTTTGGGACAAGGTGTCCAACACTAGCATCACTGAAGGAAGGTTTACAGCTTACTACACTGAACGAAGGAATTAGACTATGGTAGAATTGGGCACAAGATGGTCCACAAGCAATATGAAGCCAGTGAAGCTCCTGACTAACTAACAAACAAACAAACAAACAAACAGTTTGGGAGGAATTTCTGCTCCAAAGTTACACAGAAAGTATCCAAAATGTGAAAATATCCAAAATATCCCCATTCTACCTCCTCATGTGACCCGGAATCCCACCCTTTTCCAAATAGCAACAGCCCAAGTTCAAGATTTTATGCACTCAACCAGTAGAGAGAGGAATAGGCTTGCATCTCCATGAATGAAACATGTATCCTACAGAAAGTCCTACGTTCAATTCCTGGCTTCTCCAAATAAAAATATCCGATACTATTCAGGGGTTGCAGGAAGCAGCTGACAATCAAAGCAGACAATAGTGGGCCAGATTATACGCTGGCCTGACTTGGTATAATGCAGTCATGAGTGGGACCAGTGAAAGAGTTTGCAGTGTCATTTACTGATCATCAGTAATCACTCTCGCATCCCTATCTCTACAATTAAAGATAAAAAGTGCAGCTTTACGGGTAGATGACTTGCTTTGGGTCGGGGTTCAACTAACCTGGTATCTCCAGTTAAGAAGGGTTGCAGAACAAACAAGGTAAGAAACCTGAAGATCCCTTCCCAAGGTAAGGAAAAACTAAAGGAGTTTCATAACATGGTCTGACTTGGCCATGGTGGTACACGCTCTGGTCACATCCCGCCTTGACTACTGCAACGCTCTCTACGTGGGGCTGCCCTTAAAGACGGCCCGGAAACTTCAGCTAGTTCAGCGCGCGGCAGCCATGTTACTAACGGGAGCGGGACGCAGGGAGCATACAACGCCCTTGTTGTCCCAGCTCCACTGGCTGCCGATTTGCTACCGGGCCCAATTTAAGGTGCTGGTGTTATCCTACAAAGCCCTAAACGGTTCCGGCCCAAAATACCTTTCAGACCGCATCTTGGCCTATGAGCCCACGAGGACCTTGAGATCGTCTGGGGAGGCCCTTCTCTCGATCCCGCCTGCTTCACAGGCACGTCTGGCGGGGACGAGAGAAAGGGCCTTCTCGGTGGTGGCCCCCCGGCTGTGGAACGACCTCCCTGCTGACATCAGACAGGCGCCCTCCCTTCTGTCCTTCCGTAAGAGCCTGAAGACCTGGCTATTTGAGAAGGCATTCAACTGAGCGCTACGGCAACTGGTAATTGACAACTGGAACGGAATACGGATTACGATATTGGTTATGATTCTATGATGTGACGGAGCGGATTATTTAGTGTAACTAGATTATAGTGTATTATTGTTGTATTGATTCCCTGTTTTGCCCTTTTTGTAAACTGTTTTTATATGTTGTGCACCGCCGCGAGTCGCCCTAGGGCTGAGAGCGGCGGTCAATAAATGCAGTAAATAAATAAATAAATAAATAAATAAATAAATAACATCATCACCAATGTTTTAGAATCTAAGCCAACTTTGTAACAAGATGAGAAGAGTCCTGCTGAATCAAACTGAAGACCTATAAACAGCTCAGTATCCTGTTTCCGATGGGGCCCAAATGCCTAGTCGGATCTTGGGAGGCTAAGCTTGGTCTGCTCTTTTAGCACTTGGTGCTAAAAGACAGTGCTGTAGGCTAGATTTCAGAGAAAGAAACTATCAAAACTACCTATGAGCATTCTTTGCTTAAGAAAGCCTTGTGAAAAATCCATGGCATTACCATAAGACTTGAAGATATATATTCTGTTTCTAGCACTGATCCATTATTGATTAAATTTATACCCCATCTTTCTCCTGGGTTGAGATCAAGAGTGATGGGATTGACAATTCAATATCTCTTTAGGGTGCCAGGGTGACAATCTAGGTCAGGCATGGGCAAACTTTGGCCCTCCATGTGTTTTAGACTTCCTACCGGCTGTTAAGAATGGTGGGAGTTGAAGTCCAAAACACCTGGAGGGCCAAAGTTTGCCCAGACCTGATCTAGACTATGATTGGCACCCACTTCTCTGCCTTCCCACAGGTAAATGCAACCATCCCTCACCTCATCGACTTGAGCCTGTGTTTGCTGGAGTCTTCTGTTACTGGTGAGGTTGGGGGGTGGAGGAGGAGGGCCAACCCCCTCTCCTCCGGCAGCAGGGGGTGCAGCAGCAGGAGCCGACCTGAAAGGGGGAAAGAAAGAGAAAAGGATGATTTTCCCAATCACTTATAGAATAAAATAGAATTTCCCATGTTACACTTTATAGTTCCTCTTACAAAGCTCTGTACACTGTAAGGAAAAGAAGCATGTTGATAAGCCCAAAAAAATCACAATGACCAAAGCAGGAGTGTTCAAAAGTATTGTAGCTAGGAGCTACACCTTTCAAATATCTTTATATTGGAGAACGGAGGCAGAGAAACAGTCTTAGGCTGCATTTCTCTCCTTCCTGTTTTATAAATAGAATGGTTGGGCAATATTAATACAATTACAGCATGTTCAGTTAAACCCAAAATGAGTGCTTTCTATATCCACCAGTAAAGTCAATATACTATATGGGATAAGAGTGAGCTTTCTCAGGAAGCTGAGAAAGCTCACTCTTAGAAGCTCAACTGGTACCAACACTTGTTCCATGTATTTATCTTTTAAAACAGTACATCCCACCCCTATATTCACAGATCTCGGACAGGCTTACAATAAACTTGATTTAAAAAATAACAATACAGACAGTTGCCGAGTTACAAATTACAACCAACTTTATAATTAAGAACGAGAGTAAGACAACAGGAAGTGAGAGAAATCTACCTCTAGGAGGGCAAATTCACTCCTTAAAAATTATCAGGGGGAAAGGTGTCTCAACGGAAGCTTTATCGCCAAATACTTGTTTCCACAGCAATACACATTTTTCAAAATCCAATCATCATAGGGACAGAAAGCAATGGTTTGAGTGTCGGACTAGGAATCTGGGAGCCCAAGGTTCAATTTGGCACTCAAGTCATAGAAATCAATTGTATGACTTTGGGCAAGCCACTCTCTCTCAGCCTCAGAGGAAGGCAGTGGCATAGGAGAGGGGCTTGTTTCTGGTGGCATGCCAATTGTATAATAACCTCCTTTTGGAGACCCAACCAGCACCAGCACTGGGATCATTTTGATGCCAAGTCAAAACCTGTATGTATATTTGGCTGAAAAATGTACCTGTTCCAACCTACATACAAATTTAACTTAAGAACAGACAGAATCGATCTTGAATGTAACTTGGGGACTGTGTATACCTGGATTTCACTGATAATCTACTTACGGTCATATGTTTTTAATCTTATACATTTACAGGCAAATCTATATCAAACTTTGGATAGCATAGGGAAGAGTTAACACCCAGTAGTGTTTGTTTTGCTGTCTGCACTCCTATTCAGAAGGTTTTTTGGCCATCTCTTATGAATTATATGTACAATGAAAGAAAAATTGAACAATGGCTCCGTTTACAAGAAATCACATTTTGTGCATCAACTACAATACCACAATCCTTATATAACAAATTATTTTTAAAAGGCAAAATTTTACGTGTCCTTTCACCTTCCCCTCTTCAGGGGGTCTTGCTGAGAAGCACAGGGGAGCAGAGCTATAAATACAGTGGAGGCGTATGATACAGAGCAGAGCAATAAGAAGGCGGAGATTAAGAGCAAGGACTCTATATTTAATCCCTGGAAAGTGAGACCTGGACTGACTTACACAAACCAAGATTAGCCACAAAACTACCAAGGCCACGCTCTACAGACGTTTGGCAGCTGAAGGCTGGCACTCTGGAGAAACACCAGACTACAACTCCCATAATTCCCAAGACACAGCAGTTCCTATTGGGAAAAGTGCAGTTTGGATTAAACCGGACCTGCAGTTTGTAAAAAAGAATTTGGTTGGCCGGAATTCCAAAATCCTTCAGCCTACGGAAACTAAAATGTCACCAAATGTGAATTACTATGCATTCTGGTCTCATTTGCACACAAAAAAACAAAAAAACAAAAACAAAACAGCACATCATGTTCTAAATGGACACCCATCAAAGATAAACAAAAAAGCTGGGATTCTAGGAGCAGCCCATCTAATTAACTTTTCCAGATGAATATAAGAATGTGACCCCAAAAGTATCCTCACTTTCCAATCTGAGAAAGCTAGACTGACAAAACAGAGGCCCTTCCGCACTACCCTGTTTATAGCACTATGATTCCACTACTACAATGGTTACATTATCTAGGGATTTGGAGTTTGGGAGCCAATAGAGCTGTTTGGCTGAGAACTCTAAATACTCCTTCCTAAACTGCACATACCAATATAGGATGGAGGGATGGGAGTTAAAGTATCTTAGCACTACAATTTAAACAAAGCAGAAGAAGCCCAGGACAGGAAAATGCTTCAAATTCCAAAATGGCAATATAAATTCTTATTCCCTAGCACGCACATATATATTAGCCTGTTTTTTTAAAATATATATATATACACACAGGAACGCAGTTTGGTGAAATGATCATGTAATTTGAAGGGCAAAATTTCCCCTCTTCAAAATTTTAATTTCCCATTTAAAAGTGTAATTTTACTGCTACACTTTCCTGAATATTTTTTGTCCTGATACATCTTGTAACTAAAAAGAAATCCACTGAAAGATAGGAATAAAATATTACAATTTGGTTCTGTGCCTTGCCAGAAGATGGGTCAAGTCAGCAGAAATGTTATTTAGATTTTTTAAAGATCTATAAACAAAACTATGGAAACAAACACCAAAATTTCCCAACATGATTGCCCCTTGGAGGAGCCAATAGACAATTCAGAAGAAGATGGGTGAATGACATATTTATAAGACAGAATAAGAAATTTTCCTCCTCAAAAGCCACATTCTGAGAGGTTCCTATTCTCTGTCTTTGCCTCCTTTAACAAAGACAGTCACACTTTGCAGGGATGGAGGAGAGTGATGTCAGATGAGATCATCCATGGGAGAGCAGACGCTGTGAGCCAAACAGAAATGAGAAGTGCTTGCAGGGAATGGCACGGAATGAATGAGACAGGTTTTTATAAAAGCAATGTTTTAAAGAGGAAAATCAAGACCAAGGACTGCAGTTTGGAGGTTAAGGGAAAGAGAAAGAAACACTAAGACAATGCTTTTTGCTGACCTTTTTTCTTCTGCCTCTCCCATCCAAAAACCAGCCAAAACATGTCCAAATTACTATTAAATATGCTTAAGATGCTGCTTTTTAATTACAGTATTCAGTTAAAAGACCTGGTAGTGACACCCATCATGCCTAGAGCAATTGCTATTGCTATTATTTGCCATCAAGTTGGGTGACTTTTGAAGGAAAGATGTCTGAGCTTCAGTTATCAACAACGCCTTAAATCAAGTAATAGTTTTCTGAGATCTACAGAGATACTTGCAGGAACACCTCAGCAAGCAAGAGTCCAAAAGTGGCAGGAGAAAGCCTGGAACCTCAAGCCATGGCTGATACCAAATGAGATACCCCCCTGGGCCCACCTAAGATTGGGCGACTTGGAAGGTGCTGAACAGACTGAGCCAACCTTAACAAATGGGGCCACAAAGTGGAGCCCACAACATGCGAATGTGGAGAAAATGCAGCCTGTGCCCTTCCACATGCACAATGGAGGACCTCCTTATAGCAACACCAGAGGCCCTCCAAGTGGCCGGTTACTGGTTAAACGACATTTAATATAATTCCAAGTTTTTAAACTTTTGTGTTTTTTAAATACATTACAACTGTATCCTTGGTTTGCTTCTGATACAATAAATAAATACGTTATCAACTGCATAGCTCAAGACCTGCAAACTCAGAGCTATGTCTTCCTTGGTGGAATCAATGCACTTTTCCTACTGCCTACCAATTTCCCCAAATGTTTAATAATAGTATATCAGTGTTAATTTATGGAGATCCTATAACTGAAAGCACCCCAAGAAAGCTTTCATGTCTTGCAACCTCAGAGAGCCGCCAAGAAGTTTATCCATCTGTAATGTGGTCTCCTCCTTTTTTCATTGCTTTCTAATTTCATCAGTCATTTTTAAGGAGTCCTGCCATTTTATAATGCATCCAAAATGCAACAGGTTCCATTTAGTAAATTAGGCCTCTAGGCACAATTCTTTATTTGTCCTCAGACCTTTGTTTGCGTCTTTAGCAGTCTGTGGTATTTAAAAAACTCTCCTCTAAGACCACTTTTCAAATGAATTGATTTTTTCCCTCATCAGATCTCTTTACTATTCAGCTTTCACAACTATAAACAGAAATTGGAAATACGATGGCCTGGATGATTCTGACTTTGGTATTTAGTTATATATTTGGCACAACAATATTAGAACAGAACTAATGCTCTTATATGGCACTCTGAACAGCACAAGAACACTAATCTCAGTGTTCAAATAACATCCTCGCTGTTTTGCCAAGGGGGATGTGTGACACAGAGTGCATCCACATAAGCCAATACCTGAGCTTCCTACCCTTTAAAAATTTCATTTTCATAGAGGTAAGGATGAAAGATGTGTAGCCACATTAACCAATGTGGGACTGCAACCTCCTCTGTCCCCCATCCCTGGTCTTAAAAAGAATTGCAACCCAATAATTTGGTTTTAAAGCTTGGATTTAAAATGCCTAAATTTTGATTCAGGCAGTTAATTCATGACTGTAGCCAGGAATTCACACAATGAAATTCTCTAATATCTAATATGTTATAAACAAGTCATGTATTTGTGCCTGGATTCCTCCCCCAGACCAGCTAGCTTTCTATGTCTAGGGAATATATTTTCTTCTATCAGATCCTGTTTCCCCTATCTGGCTGTCTGTCTGAAGCTGGCAACATCTCTTCATCTGAAGAAGGAATTGGCTGATGTGGTGAAGGCCATCTTTATTTCTGCAGAGAGGCAGATTGAAAGTCTCAGTGTACTGCAAGATAATAGATTATGCAATAAAGAAATCTATAAACACCCACCTTAGTTTGTGTTTGTGAACCGCCGTGAGTCGCCTTCGGGCTTGAGATACAGCGGTATATAAGCAAAGTAAATAAATAAATAAATAAATAGTTTTCAAATATTTCTAAAGAAAAACCAGATGATAAATACTGAGCATCAAAAGTCCTCAGGCTCTTCCATCTCAGGAAGCTGATATCCATTAAAGACAGTGAGAAGTTGTTCATGTGCTC